TTTTTTTTTTTTTATTTTCTCAATTGCTTCTAATTCAAGATTCTGAAAGAAAGGGGGGAAAAAGAGAAATGTTGGAAACGGCAGCCTTCAATTGCCACTGTTCAAATTCAAATTTCTGTCGACATTAAAGAAGGTAATGTATAAAGGAGAAGTATACCCGTTGCTGTCTTTTTCTAACTGCCGTTAAGCTTCTAATAATTTTCTTGTATTTTACTTTCTTTTTTTCTTTGTTCATACCCAGCAACGTTCTGCTTTGCTTTTTATCGAACACTTTAGCTGCATGCGTATCAGAGAAAAACTCTTAAAGAAATATTCATTTTAAGACAGTGTTTTTGCTTCTTTTTTTCTTTAGTAACCAAGATTTGTAAGCTCAGTTTCCCGGGTTGTTTGCATTCAAAGTTCAAACATTCAATTTTCAAAAAAAAAAGAGCAGTTTTATTTTTTTTTTGCAAGAATTTGTTCTGGAATCTTGAATCTATGTATAAAAATTGAATCTTTTTCGTCTTTGATAGGTCAAAAAAATGGATAGCACATCAAATTCTGATGACAATTATGATATGGGGTATCAGCCTTCTCCTTCGTCTGTGTATCAAACTGACCAATCACCATTCACCGATACCACGAGCTGCTCGATCATGAGCGCTGAGTCGTTCGCCTACTGCCGGACTAATTCCGAGGCCTCGGGTGCATTTTCCGAGCCGACAGACGATAGTAATAGCTATTCCTATTCTGATGTGGCGTCCCCACAGTGCTGGCAGGGGCTCAAGTCCCCGGCTCGTGTCGCGCTTTCCAAATTGGGGATGAGGCAGCACAAGCATGGGGTAGATGATGAGATTATGGATTTAGGTGAGTTCTTTTCTTTTTTCTTTTTATTATTATGTGGGATAGTTATTTTGTGATCAAGATTTCATTTTTTTTTTTTTCCATATTTCTTTGTGGGTTTATCATATATATGACATGGGATGTCTGTGATGATCAGTATTGTGTTAGCACACATAGTATATAGTTTATCAAGATTGGAGCTTTTGTATGTTTTGTTTGTTATGTGATAAAACTATGCAGAGCACAGAGCATAAAGCTTATCAAGATTGGAACTTTTGTATGTTTTGTTGGTAATGTGATAAGAGTATGTGATGTAACAACCTCTGTTGACTCATGACAAAACATGCTTATTTTTTAAGTTTAGGATTCAAATATGTATTTTCATTCTTTATTTTTTTGGCCTTGTTGCTTTTTTACTGTCTTGACTATTGAAATACTTGAGTTTCGGGCAATATTTCATGGCTCAATTTCTAATTTGATTGATTTCGATTTATATCAGTCGGCTAAATTGGAAAATAATAAATTGTTACAGAGCTAGAGTTGATGAAGGAGAGATTTTCAAAGCTGTTGCTTGGGGAGGACATGTCTGGAAGCGGCAAAGGGGTTTGCACGGCCGTGTCGATCTCAAATGCCATAACCAACCTTTACGGTAATCTGCTTTTCTAAGTTTTATTATTCTGATCGGTTAAATTAATTTTTTAGATCAAAACATAGTTACAAAGACCATCGGGTGGGCATGTACAATAGCAAAGGTGGATATAGCCACAAGTTCGGCTCCTCACATGCGTATCAAATTATAATTTTAAAGAATGTTAATTGTTATAGTTTTTTTTTTTTCATGACTTGTCTCTGATGCAAATGCAGCTTCTGTGTTTGGTCAGCACCAGAGATTAGAACCTCTGCACCAAGAAAAGAAGTTAATGTGGAAAAGAGAAATGAAATGCCTTTTATCTGTGTGCGATTACATAGTAGAGTTCAGTCCCACACTTCACACTCTCAAAGATGGGACCAAAGTAGAGGTTTTAACCGAACTTCCAAAATTGTTCAATTTCATCGTCTTTTAACAAAGGCAAACAATAAAACTATATAAAACAATAAAAATAAAGAATGATTTGTTCCGACTCTGTAGGTGATGACGAGCAGACCACGATCTGATATTTACATCAACCTCCCCGCATTGAGAAAGCTCGATGCAATGCTCCTGGTAAAATGTTAAAAATAAAAAGAACTTTCTTTTTGAAACATTTTTGGGGATCTTTAGTAATTAGAGAAAACCTCAAGGGTCATTTTCTAATTATTTCTTTGTTCATTTTTTATTTTTTATTTTTTTTTTCGCAAGAAGGGAATACTAGACAGCTTTCAGGAGACCGAGTTCTGGTATGCCGAACAAGGCAGCATCTCGGCAAATTCGTCCCGTTCGGGAAGCTCGTCTTCACGCTCGGGCTCGTTTAGGAGAGTAGTTGCCCAGCCTCAGTCTCAGCGTACGGATGAAAAGTGGTGGCTGCCCATTCCCTGCGTGGGCCCAGACGGGCTCTCGGAGGTATCCAAGAAACATTTGAGACAAAAACGTGACTGTGCGTACCAAATCCACAAGGCAGCCATGGCCATAAACAACGGCATTCTTGCCGAGATGCAGATTCCTGAGTCTTACACGGCGTCCCTTCCTAAGGTGTTGACCTTTTTTTTTTTTAACAATTTATTCTGATAAACCCGAAAAATCCAAGGTTTGAAACTGGGAAAGCTTTTTTTTTGGGGGTGAGAGGTGGCAAAAGTTATAAAGTTCTTTAAGGAGGGAAACTGGGAAAGTAGAAGTATGTTGAAATTTAAAGATGATCTTGCAAAGCTGCCCCTGAAATCTAGTTTAATTGCAAAAGGGGCCGAATATTTTATTATTATTATTATTATTATTATTATTATTATTATTATTATTATTAT